ACAGAAGAATTTATTGATTCCATGTACAGCATCGGTTTATTTCCACTGATAACAAGACCGACCAGAATAACATCTCATTGTGCAACTCTATTAGATAATATATTTACAAATATAATAGAAGGAAAGATAAAAAGTGGGCTGTTAATCAATGATATAAGTGACCATTTACCAGTCTTTGCATCGTATAATTGCCATTATAAAGTGAACAACGATGGACATAAGATTATTTACAAAAGAATAAGAACAGAGAAGACCTTAAATTGTCTTAGAAATGAACTTTTAAAGCAAGATTGGAATATTGTATATGAACAAACAGAAGTTAATAAAGCTTACGAAGGATTTTTAAGAACATTTAACACATTACTTGATAAAAACTGCCCAGTAATTGAAATCAATAGGAAACACAACTATGCAGGAAGACCATGGATGACAAAAGGACTACAAAATGCCAGCAAAAAAAAGAATACCCTATATCGAGAATTCATAAAAAAAGAGAACAATAGAAACTGAAATGAAGTATAAAACTTACAAAAATAAATTAACTAATATAATGAGATCCTGTAAAAGAGAGTATTACATTAAAAGGTTAGAACACAATAAAGATAACACAAGAGATATATGGAATGTATTAAACAGAATAATCAAAAATGAATCAAGGAATAATGATTACCCTGGGTACTTTATAGAAGGGACAAGAAGTATTAATAACATGGAGGAGATAGTAAATGGCTTTAATGAATTCTTCGTAAACATAGGGCCAAAACTGGCAGAAGAAATAAAGGTTGATGGAATAGAAAGGGACACTGGTGAAAATATTGAAAGGAATAGTAGCTCAATGTTTTAAGAGCAGTGGAAGAGAAAGAGATTTATGACATAGTTAGAGGACTTAAGAACAAAACCAGTACAGACTGGAATGATATTGATATGGTAACGGTAAAGACAGTTATTGATGGTATCGTAAAACCATTAAAATATATATTCAACTTGTCGTTTCAAAAAGGAGTTTTTCCACAAAAAATGAAAGTTGCTAAAGTTATTCCCATTTACAAAACCGGTGAAAGACATCATTTTACAAACTATAGACCAGTGTCAATACTCTCCCAGTTCTCTAAGATACTGGAAAAACTCTTCATAAAAAGATTTGACAGTTTTGTGGAAAAATATGAATTAATGACAGATAGTCAGTATGGGTTCAGAAACAACAGATCAACAGCTTTGGCACTGATAGATTTAATGGAAAAGATAACGGAATGTATGGATAATAAGAGGTATGCGCTCGGAGTTTTCTTAGATCTAAAGAAGGCGTTTGATACTGTTAATCATGAAATTCTATTAAAAAAACTGGAAAAGTACGGGTTTAGGGGAGTGGTTTTGGAATGGTTAAAAAGCTATGTAGGGAATAGGCAACAATATGTACAAATAAATGAATATAAATCTAATTTGATGGATATAGCTTGTGGAGTACCTCAAGGTTCAGTACTGGGTCCAAAAATGTTTATTATGTACTTAAATGATATCTGCAGAGTATCGGAGATTTTAAAGTTTGTAATATTTGTAGATGACACAAATATACTGTGTTCAGGTGTGGAATTGCCACAGGTTTTGGAAATGATCACACAGGAATTAACGATATTAAAGAAGTGGTTTGATATAAATAAATTATCATTGAATCTCGATAAAACCAAATTTATGTTGTTTGGAAACCAAAAGAAAAACATCGAAGTAGAAATATGTGTTGACAATGTATATTTAGAAAGAGTAAATGAAATAAAATTTCTTGGGGTGATCATTGACCACAAGCTCTGTTGGAAGCCACACATTACTTATGTTCGGGGGAAATTGGCATTGCCGTCCTGGGAAAAGCAAAGCATATGTTGGATCAGAAAGCACTGCACATTTTATACTGTGCTTTACTACTGCCATATATGAGCTACTGTGTAGAGGTCTGGGGAAACACATACAAAAGTAACACACAAACAATAACTATAATACAGAAAAGGGCCATTAGATTAATAAATAATGTAGGGTACAGGGACCATACAAATGCACTCTTTGTCAAAATGCAAGCTATTAAATTCCAAGACTTGGTGAAGCTTAAAACAGCGCAGATAATGTATAAAGTCAGAAATAAATTGCTTCCCAAAGAAATCTGTAAATTGTTCATAGAAAGAGAAGGTGGGTATAACTTAAGAGGGAAATGGAATTTAAAAATACAAAGTGCTAGAACAACTTTAAGAACTATGTCAATCTCAATTGCAGGAGTTAAATTATGGAACAGTCTAACAGAAGAAATAAAAGACAGTCAAAACATAAAACAGTTTAAAGTAAAATATAAAAACCTAATTTTAAATAAGTATAAGAATGAAGAAAACGGGGTTAACCCAGGATGGTAATGTTGCTGGTAATGGTGTTGCGGTTCTTTTTGGTTGTTTTTTTGTTTTTTTGTTTTGTTTTGGTTTGTTGTTTTTCCATAACTTGTGTATCTGCAAATATACACATTCTGTATTTTTCATATGAAAGAAACTATACTGTGGTGGGGCTTGCTAATTTCTTGTTTTTGATTTATGTATGTTATGTTTTGTTTTACTTCATATGTTTATATGTTTCATATGTTGTTTGTTTAATTAAGACAAAAAAAAATTAAATGAATGAGAGGTAAAACTTGAGGGGGTAGGGACAAATAAGTAAATACTTCAGCCTACTCCTTTTCAAACAAATAATGGAATGATATTTGTAATGATTGTGAAGGCACATGTTTGAAATGTTTGAAATAAAAATGAACTGAACTGAACTGAACTCTGCCTACGTCATGACGCAGACAGTCTACGTACGCAGGGCTGTGCGTGTACGTAGACTGTTATTTATCGCTCAGTTCGGGCAAACAGGGTCAGACTGGGACTCACCGCCTCGGTGCTGGGCTTGACCCGGTCCAGGAGCTCCTGCAGGGGTCCATGTCTTCGCTCCGGGTGCCGGTTTCTCCCCTGCTGACAAACTCCCGCTCACGGCTTTCAAACAGCTTCCGGTCCTCCTCCTGTTGATGTCCTCCCTCTGACCGTCGCCCCCGTGTTCCCGCCTCTTACCGTTCATAAAGCCGCCATGATGCCCTACCGTCCTACTTTGTTTACTTTTGTTCTGTATTTTAAACAAATCATCAAACTTATTAAACTGACTAGTCTCTGCTCACGCAGGATCTCTACCGCATGTGCGGAACAACTTTTCCCTACCCTGCATTTCACAATAAAAGCCCTTCACGTTCACATACACTCAGTGGTCTCCTACCTCCTTTCCTAACCACTTTTCCTTGTTAGAAACGTTGTGAGGTGGAGGAAATGCGTTTAGATGTGATAAGAACTCAGGAAAGGAAACAGCTGTGTTTGAACTACAAGTCGATCACGTGACTCCAGCCCAGCGTGTTCTCAGCCTGATTAGTGCAGGTGAAGAACATGCTTTTATTATGAAGGGTCAGACTTCCTGCTGAGGCTCAGGGTCATGTGACAGCACCTTTTGAAGCTCACCTGACGCCACAAGGTGTTTCCTTTTCAGGAGGATGACACCGTGCGAACCTCGGGAATCTCCAACAAAAACACATTTCTGTCAAGTGGAAACTTTAAAATAAAATAAAATTATATATATTCAGCTTGCAGAGCATAGATGCAGATCAAACTGAAGGTTTGTCGCTGTTTTTTGTTCACGTTTTATTCAGGCTGCAGGTGTCTCAGTGGAAGAATAGAGCGTGGCTGAGCGCACCTGTGCAGACCAGTGATACAGTTTAAGATCAGAGAATTGTAACCCCCTCTTTCATATGGCAGGTACAACAAGCCAAGTCTTCATCTAGGACCTTTGTTATTCCAAATTAACCAATTAAAGATATCGTTTAACTTCTGAAAGGATTCTTTTGGAGGAGGCAGAGGAAGTGACTCAATATAAAAACTCTGCATAACCTTTCATCCTTGTTCAGGAATAGGACGGAGGAGGATTTTGAATCATTTATAGCCAGAAAATCGTCTAAATAGCTCCATTTGTAGCATTAATTTTGCAACTTGGCTAACAGACAGCCAGTCTAGGGCCTAGGGCCAATCTCTGCTCTCGATCTCCTAACTGGAAACCAAATAGTACAGCTCTCATTGTAAGTGTCATCACCAGAGGTTCCATAGTCAGAATGAATAGCATTGGAGATAACGGGCACCCCTGATGAGTGGAACACTCCAATGTGACGGGTTAAGTTGAACCCATCTGAGAAAATGATTTCCAAATCCATATCTTGGGAGAAGGTTAAATAAATCTGACCAGTCTATTCTGTCCGAGGCCTGACGAGCGTCCAGTGATAATAAAGCTGCATCGTTAGCATCACATCTCTCATGAATTATATGAGAACCCTTCTTATATTGTGAAACCCTTGATGCTTTGGTACAAAGCGAATCAAATGTGGGATCCAAGGCTCTGATCTTCATGCTAAACATTTAAAGTATTTTAGTGTCAACCCCCGTCAGACTCTAAATGATGAGTGTTCTGCAGGTTTAGCAGGTTTCTCAGTACTCACTGCCTGTCTCACAGTGGGTGGAGAGCCTCCGTGTGATATGCTTCTACATACATGTTAAAAAGTGGAATTATTCTTTCTTCTGGAAGGTTTTGTAAAGTCAGAAAGCCATCTGGCCCAGGTGCCTTACCCACAGCAAATCCAACATGTCCAAATGAAGACTGTCAGATTTGATTTCAGCTCTTTTAAAGTGTCTTTATAAGTTAATTTAACTCTTATTGGAGAGTTGGAACGTTAACTCTGACTTAGTGTTGAATACCAAATCTGTCTGGAGTTGATCATTCAACACTTATTCATGCTAACTAGGTGTTAAGAGTTTATATACTAACCCCCAGAGGATTTTAGTTTAACTACATAAGAGTTATCTTCTAATTCATTCTGTGAATTTTACTGTTCTGAATTTCTAGAAATTCCTTTGGAAATAAACATTATTGCAAAGAGGACTGCATCAGCTGAGGCAACATGGTGTCCTGTGAGCTCAATTTCCTTTTAATCAGAAAAGGTCAGACACAACAAAAGCCAAGCAAAGCATCAAACAAAGGAAAAACAAAGACAAGTCAAATGTCCAGCCAAAGGATTTATGGGAGACTCCATCAGGGATGGACCGAGTCAACCGGAGCCACAGCTGGACTGGCCAGAGTGGCAACAAGCTCATCAGACCTCTGTGTTGGGCAGGTTTGGGGAGTGTCTGTGATGATAAAGCCACGACTCTGAAGGCGACTGCAGAGTTTGGTGCAAGATGTTGCGTCCTTGCAAAACTCCTGCAGCTCCGAGAAGCTCCAGAGTCGACCTTCCCTGGAAAACAGCTTCTGGGAGGCTTTAGCTCTGGAAGCTTCTTGCTCCCTCTCCTGTGCTGTGCCGTGTTTCAGGCACACTCCGCTCAGGTGATTCCAAATGAACAGCTGGGGCTTGTTGCACAGCAGGCAGTACACAATGTTTTTCTCCATGTTGTTTGGACTGCAAATACAAAGAGAGACAAACTCTGCACATCACTTTATAGCACCAGTAGCGTGTCTCGGTATGATGCAAAGCTAGCTATGTCGCTACACTGGACACAGAGCAGTACCTACTTTAAAACTGAACCTTTGTTGATCCTCTGCTGTTTCTCCAAAGCACACAATGTTCTGCACAAAGACATTTAACTTTAGCACATGTATAAAACATGCACGCACACGAGCAGTTCGTTCAGCTAAAAGAAACGCTTCATAGAAACCATTTCTACAACCAGCAAACGCAAAGAAAACAAGCCATGACTAAAACAGCAGTTACGTAAATGAGCAGAAGTTGCTAAACAAACAAAACTGAACCAGAAAGTCTCCAGACATCATGTAACCACTGTTTGACAAACGGTCCTACTGTAGGATGATGTTACAGTGATGTCTGACAAACCATCCCACTTAACCGAAGCTGCAAATTCGATAGTTTTGTGCCAAAAGCAGATGGCGTTTTCACTTTAAAATGAACAAACATTCACAAAGGCTTAAAACAATATAGTATCCAAGTCAATAACATGCTAATACTTCCAAGTATGAACACAGAGTAGCGTTAAATCACCCGGTGTTCCAGATTAACTGGTGACGGTGGAACAGATGGTGGATTTTTTAATATTTTGTTGTTAACAGCAACAAGACTGGCGGAGTGTGTCTGAGGGAACCTCACAAATGTCACAGCAACACACTGCAGTGGAACCCCGACTTACGAAATTAATCTGTTCCCGACGGTTTTTCGTAAATCGAAGCAGCCATCGCGCCTTTTGAGTGAGAAGATGCTGGCTGGAGACGGAGTTCTTGGTGGCGGAGGTGGTGGAGGCTGAAGAAAGCATACGTATGCATGCATACATACAGCACCACCACGGGGGAAACTGGCATAACATTAAGGTGTAAAGTTGTTGATTTTTTAATTCAAAGATTAATCAGGCTTTAAACATCAGGAGGTAGTGCAACAGACACTGAAGTGCACATTAAAGACCAGAGAGAACATTATTTTTATTAACAAAAAGTTTTAATCCACCAACAGCCCTGACATCTAAAACACTACAAGTAAAAAAGAAAGGCAACAAAAAACAATTCAGACATTTTTACACAATTAGTAACACTTCAGCTTTCTTTGTAATGTCTGCTTGTATTTTAAGAAGTATCGCATTTGGGTAAAAACATTACCAATAACTCAAAATTAGAGGAATAAGTGTATATATGTGTCAGCTGTATGCATGCATACATATGCTGCATGTACATGACGTTCTAAACATTAAAACTAAAACTTTTTTAAACTTAGATAATTAAAAAAAAAAATCTATTTTATCATTTATTTTTTACATTTTTTGTGCATTTTTATGTTTTTGAACTAATCACTACTGCTACTTTCATCGCTTTTCGCCCTCTAAGGCACACTTTCACCTGAAGGTTGACTTGTTGCTGGCCTCTTTGTGAAAAATCTATCCAACGACGTCTGTCTCTGTCTACTTTTCAAAATGGATCTGAAGTGGGAGAGGCAGACGCACCAAAATGCTCTATAGCACGAGCGGTAAAGTTCTTTTCAGGGTGATTGTCCTTGATATCGGCCGATGGTATGACGGCCTCCTCCTCGCTGAATTGTTGCCGTACTGATGAGTGCAGCATCGCCTCCAACTCTTGCAGCTCTGCCGTTGACAGCTCCTCTCAATGTTCATGCACAAGGTCGTTTATATCCTGCAGTCCCAGGGCAGTGCCAAGATTTACGATCTCCTCAACCTTGACTTCAGGTTGAGGTTCCCCCTCAAAGCCTTCAAAATCTCGAGGGGCAACAGCATCAGGCCACAGCTTCCTCCAAGCAGAATTTAGCGTTCGACGACTCACCTCCCGCCATGCCAAAGAAATCAACTTGAGGCATGCAACGATGTCGAAATGATTTTTCCAAAACTCCCTGAGGCTGAGCTGCGTACTCTCTGTTATGCCCGAACACCGTTTGAACATGTGTTTCGTGTACAGTCTCTTTAAATTAGAGGTCACTTGCTGGTCCATGGGCTGGAGGAGAGGGCTCGTGTTGGGAGGGAGGAGAGAACCTTGATGAACGAGAACTCCTCCAGGATATCGTCCTCGAGGCCAGAGGGGTGGCGGGGCGTTATCGATGATCAGCAGGCACTTCATGGGGAGCTCGTTCTCCTCGAGGAACTTCTTGACAGCAGGGCCAAAAACCAAGTTGACCCATTCGACAAAGAACTGTCGGTCACCCAGGCCTTGGGGTTGGACCTCCACATAACCTCGAGCCTCTCCTTTAAAGTTTTGTGTTTCTTGAAGATTTTCTGAGTGGTACACTAGGAGTGGCTTGACCTTACAGTCCCACTGGCATTAGCACACAGGGCGAGGGTGAGACGGGCCTTCATGGGCTTGTGGCCTGGCATCTTTATTTCCTCCGCGGTGATGTACGTACGCCACGGCATCTTTTTTCAGAAGAGGCCAGTCTCGTCACAGTTGAATACCTGCTGGGGGATGTAGCCTTCTTGATTTATAAGTTCCTCAAATTTTTTAACAAATTCTTCGGCAGCCTTGTGATCAGAACTTGCTGCCTCGCCGTGACGCACAACGGAGTGGTTGCCAGTCCTCTTCTTGAACCGATAAAACACCCATGCGATGCCCTGAACTCTGGGGAGGTTAGGGGTGCCTCCTGCGAGGACGTCGATGCGTTGGCTGCTCATCGGAAGCTGCCTTACTTACTAAATCATTATAAATTGAGGACGCCTTCTCGCAAATGACAGTCTCTGTGAGGTATTGCCCCCTTGTCTTTAATCCAAACAAGGAGAAGCCTTTCCATCTCGTCGTGTATGGGGGTCCTCCTTTTGGACATGATGGTGGTGCCCTTTGAAGGTTTACCTGCTTTCATGACTTATTTTTGTTTATAATTGTTCCTATGGTCGAAGTGCAAGTACGGAAGCCAAGGGGTTGTCACATGATTCGGAAGGCATTGTGGGCATTGAGCTGTTCCCGAAACATCTTAACCTGGTTCGGGAACAGCACCATGCAGGACAGACGAGCTCTACAGAGGGTTGTGCGATCAGCTGAGCGCACCATCCGCTCCGAGCTCCCTGACCTGCACTCAATCTACAGCAGGCGGTGCTGGACCAAGGCCAGGAAGATGGTGAAGGACCTCAGCCATCCCAACAACAGACTGTTCTCTCTGTTGAGGTCAGGAAAGCGATTCCGCTCCCTGAAGACCAACACAGAGAGACTGAGGAGGAGCTTCTTCCTGCAGGCGATACGGTCTCTCAATCACACCACCACACAGTACTGACCCACACATATGGTTCTTACACACACACTGGACATTCTGGACTTTGTTTTCACTTCATCACTTAAATCACTACTGCTGTTATTGTGTACATATTTATTTATACTTCTTGTGTATTTTGTTCATACATTCTTATATAGTTCTATATTGTGTATTGTGTATTTTGTTGTACAGTTATTTTATTTTCAATTTAATTTATATATTTTATCTTATTCTTTCCCAGTGTGTTGTACAGTTATTTCATTTTAACCTTAATTTATATTTTATTCCTTCCTAGTTAAATTTACCCTTTTTAATTTTTCATATTTATTTCCTATCTTATCATAGCCTTTTCCTTTTTGTTTCTTTAGGTCACGAGCAGTTGTCCAAGCATTTCACTACATATCGTACTGTGTATGACTGTGTACGTGACAAATAAATTTGAATTTGATTTGAAGGCTCAGCCAATCAGAGCCAGCGGATTTCGTTACGCGGGCATTTTGCCGTAACACGGGCAGAAGTATTGCCGTTCAGTGCCTTCGTAACTTGAACTTTTCGTAAGTCGGGGCTCCACTGTATTCTGCATTAGCCAAGTCGCTAGCATTAGCATCCATCAACCTGCAGCCTAAAGCCACAGTGTACACACAATGACCCGCATCCTGATGTGCGAATGACCGAACAACAGCCTGTACTGTGAGGTGCGCCGTGCACGGTCATTGTAATGTTTACTAACCTGAGGCAGTGAAGCTGCTGTCAGCCTGGGTAACAAGTAGACGAAAACACAATAATCTTCTGTAAACCGTGAACACAAACGACACACATGCTGTGCTGGGGTTAGCTTCACAACAGGAAGTTCTTTCTGTGAAATTCTTCTTCTGCGCCCCAAAACACTGCTCGGTACCACCATCGCGCTCTGCGCCCTCTAGTGTCCGGATGTAGAATAGCATTTAATGCCTGAAACTCACAATCCAACAGGTTTTGCAAATTGTTTTTAAATCACTGTAACTTTGAACCGTTCGCTCAATTGAACCTAATCCAATTGTTTCTGAAAGCAGAGACTCTGCGCTTTCTCTGCATTTAACTTTAGCGTGAATATGCATGCACAGTTTGTTCACCTGATAGAAAAAGTCACATATAAAATTACCCGATACTTGAAAAAACACCAAAGTTAGCAGGTTTACTCTCGCTGTAGTTTCTCCATAGCGTTACATTCACCTGGAAGTATGTCGGTTCTCAGTCATCCAGCTCAGCATAGTGTAAGGAGCTGCTGATGGAGAGTCCCACATTTAGCCATATGGGAGAGTCCCCAAAGGGTCATGGACCCCTAATCATCCTCTACCTAATCATATGACCGAGGTGTGAAGATAACAAAGCCAGCAGGCAGAGGGCACCTTTGTCTCTCATGCACGAAGAGAGACGCCTCTGAAAAGGCCTCCAGGCCTCTTTAAGTGCAGTCACACCTGACAAAAAGGGATCTTAAAACTGGATTATAGATGTTCAACGATGGTCGTGCAGCACAAAAGCATTGCACATCTGCCTTTCACGAGCTGCCGTCTTCCAACAAAAAGCATTTACAATTCCTCATCAGCCGTCAAAGGGTTTCCTACAGCTCGCCTCCTGCCTCTTCACAGCCAGGGAGCTTCTAACGACCTCTGACCTCCTGTAGTTTGGAGTTATCAAAGTAACCCATGACAGTAATGTTTATGCTGAGAGATGGGCTTAATATGATGGAATAAAAATCAGGTCTGATTTTATAGAAATGCTGTTGAATGCATTAGCTTTAAAATAAGTGAGGATGTGCTTTTCTATCTCCAGTGCACCCAGGAGGCATTTCTGCTGCACACAAAGGTAACTGAATGTCATTTCTTCTTTTCAGGTGGAAATGTGTCCAGACTCTAACATGGACCCACGGGCCCCACCCTTGGGATTTATGAGGAACAGGGAAAATGATCGGGAGAGAGCAACAGACTGACTGAAAGAACTGGAACGAGCTCGTATAGAATCAGCTAAACAATATTGTGGATGAACAAATAGAAGCTTAAACACCTCAGACAAAACTATTATAAAACGGCCCCAAAGCTAAAGAATAACAGCACGGAAACTGTGCAAACAGTTAGAAACATTAAAAATCCACCTGCTTATTGCTGCAAACCCAAAGATACAGAAGAATCCTTTTGGTCCACCTTCATCACTTCCCTGCTCCTCCTCTGCCTCACCTCGTGCTCTCATCCTGGGTTTGCATTGAAAGTATCCCCACCTAATCCCTTATCTGTAATGCTGAGCTTGCTAAACCTTTTTATACTTTTTGTTTTATTGGTGACTCCAGAACTCGTGCAGCTGTTAGTGATCACAGCAAGTTTCCCAACCCCAGTTTTAGTTTCCACTCACCCTTTATTTACAGACAGACATCAGTAACATTGTCAGCTCTGTCTTGCCTGTTGATGGTCTTGTTTTCACATTTTGGGGTTAATCCTTTTAAATAAAATATAAAAACAATCCATGTGTCAGAGCCTCGTTTGTGCTGATTAGAGTCAAGTTTCTTTATTTGTCACATGCACAGTTATACAAATACAACACGCAGTGAAATCTATCCTGACACGCTCCTGCACTGTGAAGGGGACAGAAGAACATGATGTTATATACATTAAGTATAGCAAATATACTTTGATGTATATATTATATACACTGTAGGTGTTGGAGCTGTTATCGATGAAACACTGTCCTTCTCCCTGCCGTCTCTTCATGAGATCCTCCACCGATGGGCCAAAGTCGGCTGTCATTCCCAGAATAGTCCAGGTCTCTATCTTACAATGAAACACAGACCGATCTCTCTTCCTCCTCTGCCTCCTTCATCCCCTCTGAGGATCCAGAAAAGGCTTCAAAGACTCTACTCCCTGTCAAAATTAGGGCTTAAAAAGTTTTCTCCCCAATAAAGATTAAAACCATAAGCTGGGAGGGCTGGGTTTGTTTGCTCTCACTGGTCTGATCGAGCATCCCTGACGTTTCACACTGGTTACCAGTTCTTCAGAGGGAAAAACACAGGTGGGAACAGGAGAGAAACAAGGCACAAGCCCACACTCCCCACTCTGAATGGCACATCTTGCCTGCAGTTGGCCACACCGTTCCTCTACGTGGATTAGATGCATCTATGCAGTGAGTAACACACCAGTTTCTCTGAGGGCATTTTGACCTTCCCCTCTGATTTTGCTCTCATTAAAATGTCACACAAACTGGGATTTTTCCCCGAGAGCTTTAAAATGTAAAATCTATGCTGCAGAACGTGTGAGGCAGATGGTAACTTGTTCTGTGCAAGAAAAATACCCTCTGCTCAGCTTTCTGTTATGGCCTCTATCACTTCAAAACTACTGTGGTATCTAAGACATGAAGTTTTAAGTGGCTACTCTCATATTGGAGTTTAATTGACCAATGATGTGTATTTAAAATCTGTGTGAACTCTTTAAAAGTGTCTTCCACATGCACCCACTCACCATAGTTCCTGGTGGAGAACAGCTGCTCTAGTGCGTTTTGCTCCCTGTAGTCGTATGAATGGCAAACTACACTCACTGGCAGCAGCATGGGCACACTGAAGCTTTCTTCTGACATTTTCGCTCTCTAGTGTCATCACCATAGTCAGAATAAATAGCATTGGAGATAACGGGCACCCCTGATGAGTGATCAATAGTTAGACGTCTGTCTAATTCCTGCTTTGTGTCTTCTGTTCGTGTCGGGAACTGAAGTTCAGATGGATCGACTGATACATTCCTCTCACTCTGCATTTCCTTCATTCTCCATACCAAGAGTTTTCTCGCTTTCCCTCCTCGGTCATACTAAAACTGCCACATTAGACTTTTTGCTGATGCATCAGAAGACAATTTATTATATTCAGTTCTAAAACGTAACAATTCACTTTGATGAGCTCGATGTTAAGTTGTTTTGTGGAGCGGAAAACAAACTCCCGATCTTGGAGGTTCAGGAATCGGATAAGCACACCTGTGTTGGTTTGGCTTTCGAGGTGTTAGGGTGCAACTGCTGATCCTCGGCGCCGTCCCAGAGACCAAACAGACGCAGCTTCTTGCTCGGACGTGGTTCTCCAGGTCGTCAGTCTGATTTTCAGCTTCCTCATCACAGAAACACATGAACATTAGACCGGAGCATTCAGGGAGTGAAAGCAGTATTTCAACCTTTAAGCTGAACTAACGTTTTACCTTCCTCTTCATCGTCTCGTCTCCCTGCTGTCAGAGACACGACACCCAAATGAACCTCTAAGAGATGATGTCGTCAGTGACCAATCAAGAACGAGAATAGATGACTGACACGTGCTACAATAAGTCTTAGTTTCCCTGTCACTGTATTTTAGGAGTGTGAAGCTATAACGTTATTTTAAAAACCAAGCCGAGCCTGAGAGTCGTGGTGTGGTGAAGCAGAGAGCTCTGACGGCCCGGACCCGCCCCACAGGTGGAGCTCTGCACAGCCTGAGCCAGCTCACACACTCAGCTACGCCTCTTAGTTTACATCAGCGTGTTGATGTTTGACTCCATCCACCAACACGAACCTGATGTAGTTTACTCTCATTTTGAGTCGATCAGCTGACTCTCAGATCACAGCACGGGAGATGTACGTCACTAGCCTGCACGATCACAGATGACAAGAGATGAATCCTGACCAATCCTGGCACCTGTCAAGAACAGGAAGGTGGACACAGAACGCTGCGTATTCCAGGAAAAGCTGGCAAATGATTGTTTGTGTTGGAGAGACAGTATCTGTGTGCAGTGTGATGCTGAGGAGCATCAGGACATTCACAGTGCTGACAGTGAAGTAGCTGCTCGCCCTGAAGTAGACGATGAGCAGCAAAGTTTGCAGCCAGCTGAGGAACAATATCTAAACAATCTGCAGCCTGTGATCTGAACACAGCACATAATGATCGTGTGTCACAAAGCTTTGCTGAATAAAAGTGTCGTCACCTTTGTTTTCTTGCAGATTATCATCGTACACGTGAGCTCTGCTGATCTCTCCACCTTCTTCTACTTCTTGACACCTTTAAGTGACATCATCCAGGTGTGTTTGTGATGCCTACAGGTGTGTGTGTGTGTGAGGTAATACCCTGGAAGAGGTGAACATGATGAATGTTTCAGGCTGCTGTGATGTAACATGTTCTAATCAGGCCCAGACACAGAAACCATTTTAAAAGACAAATTCATATTTTATTTCTTCTTCTAAATCTTTGTAAACAAACTGAATCAGTTTTTCAAATAAAGTTTGTTTTATTTGAAAATCATCAGAGGGGAAACTGATGACGATAAAACATTATTGTGAAGAGTCTATAAATACTGATGATTGATTGGAGCTGTCTCCAGCTGTT